CTCAGGGCCACTATGAGCCAGCATTGACCGGCTGGCAGGGAGTTTGGTTTAGTTCAGTCTAAATAAGATTGCAATTTGAACCACGTGTGAATCGATTCACATTCTAAGTGACTGGGGTTTGGGATATTATCTTGGTCGCTAAGGAGCCCTGGCAGTGCTGTCGGGATAAGCATTAGGCTGCTAAGCGCAAGGTCGGCAGTTCTAATCCACCAGCCACTTCTTGGGAGAAGATGAGGCTGCAAAGATTTACAGCCCCAGAAACCCAATCTAGGGCTTGCTTTGGGTTTGGCTCTCAGTCTCTTGGTGTAAAGGGCTATCGAGATCTTTGTGGGTCAGATTTTGTGGGAGAAAAACCTCACAAATGAAACCGAGACATTTTTTGCAAAACCTTAAAACTGTGTCTTTTGTATCTCTGAGTAAGCTAAAGATCAACACTCACCTTTATGAAAAGGTATCACCGAGAAATCATACTACTAAAGATAAGCGGTGACTGACTGTCCATCAAGTATTCTGTACCTCTGTTTTACAGGGTCCAGCTCAGGTAGAAAGCTGAGGGGGCCCGAGCTGAGTCTGAAAGGCACCCAGCACATCATGCAGGCGGGCTGGACGCTGGAGCTCAAGTGCAGGTGAGACAGCGCGGGCATGGGGACAACTGGGGGCCTTTCCCAAGATGCAGCAGACAGGTAGCAGCCATGCAAACTGGGGTTGGCTCCAGCTTCAGATCACATTTCAGGGGTGATGAGACAGCGCGGGCATGGGGACAACTGGGGGCCTTTCCCAAGATGCAGCAGACAGGTAGCAGCCATGCAAACTGGGGTCGGCTCCAGCTTCAGATCACATTTCAGGGGTGATGAGTTCTCTCAGGGGGGTGTGCAGGACAGGACCGCGCCCCGACTCACCCCTAACTCTTTTGCATCTCCATTCTGAGTCTGGCTGAGCAGCTTTCCCAAAGGTGTGACTTTTCCGAAATGAAGAAGACCACACCCGGGAGAGGCTCCCGGCATAGCACGTCCTAACAGAATGGGTCCAGCAAAAAGACAAACGTGAGGACGGCTCAGGACCAGGCAGTGTTTCATTCTGATGGACATCGGGTCGCTAGGGCACCTAACCACCACAAGATAAATGGAGACAGGGGTGGGGCAGGGGTAGAGTTCTCCATTCCAGACTGGAGACCCAGTTTTAATTCCGGGCCAGTGCGCATCATGCACAGCCACCCCCCTGCCCCTGGCTGCCTGTGGCGGCTTGTGTGTTGCCAGAATGCAGACGCCTTCCACGGAGCTTCCAGACCGAGCCAGACACGAGGAAGAAAGCCCCGTGGGTGATGATGGCCCGTCTGTCTTAGACCAAGGAGACTGGGCAGGGTGGAGTTCAGTTGTGCCTGGGGCTCTGAGGGTCACACCCAGAATGGAAGGGATGCTTAGGGACATAAGTCCCTTAACAGTGCTTTATTTTCTCTTCTCGGTGGCCGAAGGGGGGAGGCAGCCCACGAGTGGTTCCTGCCGGACACAGTGAGGAAGGAGCGCAAACGGCTGAGCATCACCGAGTCCCTCTGCGGGAGGAACAGCCATCAGTACTGCAGCACGCTGACCCTGACGGCGGCTCAGGCCAACCACACGGGCGCCTACAGCTGCAGATATTTATCCAAGCCCAGCTCCAAGACACGAGCAGAGTCCTCTATCTATATATTTATTAGTGGTAAGACGCCCCTTTTTTCTCAGTTCTGTTTGCGATTGCACCCCGAAGGAGCCCAGCTGGTGCAGTGTGGGTTAAGGGCTGGGCTGCCGTTCCCCTGTACCGGCGGTTCAAGCCCACTAGCTGCTCGATGCGAGAAAGATGAGGCTGTGTGCATCCATAGGGACTGACAGCCTTGGAAGCCCTGCGAGTGGATCTAATCTGACCTGGGGGGTGGGGGTGGGGTGTCCCTGTGAATTGGAATTGGAATTGGTTTTCTCTCTGGCCACTGGGAAGATGAATGTGAAAGAAACGGACCCCAAACAGGATCTCTCCTGAGGTG